TTAACCTTTTGAGCTTTGCTTTGTGGCCTAAATTTTAACTATGAAGTGGGCAACATTCAACTCAAACTGGGGGATGGTTTTATTGAACAGGTGCTTAATGGGTCTTTACTGTTCTAGGAAAATTCTCAGTCCAAGCAGTGATGGTGTTCATGAAGATTAAGACATGAAGAATAAGCCCCAGTTGTGTGAGGTATCTCTGTACCATCTACCAGCTAGTCTTTTCCTAGGGTGCTTATGTGATGTTGGACCCGTCTTAAAAGCTGGCTTATCCATGTATTATTTCAAATTCTATACCATTGGCTAAACTAGCAACACTATCAATAGACTTACCTTATGTCCCATGGGGTTGATTTATAATGTTCTCAAGTATAATGATAATAGTGCCTCTAAAATGAATGAAGGACATTTGTAAATCATATATATAAAAAGACTTTGGGTTCACACTTAATCACAGCCTTAATCTAAGAAAAATTAGTTCTATAGCGAAGTGTGGTGAAGAAATCAGATGGTGCTTGTCTTGACAATAAGCAGTCTGTCTCTAAGTGAGGCATCAATTAAGTCCACATAGAAGAAGCATACCAGCCTGTGCCATCAAATAATTATGAAAAGTAAAATCCAAATTCAGAGAAGGGAGCTACGTTAGAGCTTAAATTCTTAACACCCAGTTTGCAGAAAGCTATGAATAACAGCAGAACCCCCAAATCCATTTGCAGAGCCTCTGTGTGGATTATGCCTCTGACCACAGTCCAGGGATGTGAATAGCCTTGCTACCAGAAGAGAGTATTATAAAGACACAATTAGGTTACATCGTAACACCTTATAATTTGATCTCCATTGATATAGTTAAAGTTTGTTGTGCCAATCTGGCCAATAATCAGATGTGGGGTTAATTGAAGGGCAGAGAGATAAATGGCTCGGTAAGCCTCACCTTTCTAGTTCTCGGGTCCCTTGCTTTGTGATGGTTGAACCCGGGTGCAGCTGCCTTAGCCAGTTCCCTGCTTAAGCTGGCAAGGCTCACTTCCTGCAAGACATCCCTAAGGAGAAGCCCCATGGACCTACCCCGATGCAGCCCTGGGTGCTGGAGCAGCCGTCTGGAGACCCCTGCCAGAGCTGAGATGCTCACATGTCCACTGATTCTGCTTTCCTCCTGCAGTCGGCATCATAGTGTTGCATTTTGTAAGGTGGTGGAGGACTTTGTGGATTGGTGTCGGATATATGGGTTAATGTTGGACTTGTGGCCTTGGGCAGCACTGGGTTGGGATGTTTTCTTGATGTCCACTTAACCTTTATATAAAACTCTCTCTTATACATGAGTTTCTGTGGATTTGTTTCCTCTAATGTACCCTGACTAACACATCGTTTTGACCTATTTTAAATTTGTTCTAGTTTTTAATTGAGGTGTTTTTTTTCAATTGATTTTTTTCTTAAGAAAAAAAATCACTTTATTGGGGGCTCATCATAACCCATCCATCCATCCATTGTATGTCAAGCACACTTGTATATTTGTTGCCCTCATCTTTCTCAAAACATTTGCTTTCTACTTAAGCCCTTGGTATCGGCTCCTCATTTTTCTCCTCCCTCCCCACTTTTCCCTGCCTCATGAACCTTTGAGAATTTATAAATTATTATTATTTTGTCATATCTTACATTGTCCAATGTCTCCCTTCATCCACTTTCTTTTTTCTTTTGTCTCCCCCCCCCTTGTTTTTGTGTTGTATATTTTTCTGTATATGAAATCCAGTATAGGCAAATCTATAGAGATAATTTCTGGATTAATAATTACCTAGGGACATGGCAGGGGAGGTTGTGGGTGGATGGGGAGCTAACAATAATGACTACAAGAAAGAAGAAAATGTTCTAAAATTGGTTGTGGTGATGATTGCACAACTCTTGTTAATATGACTGAATTATTGAATTGCATAATATATGAATTATATGCCAATAAAAAAGAAAGTGCTGTTTGGGGGATGTTGACTGCATAGATTGATTTTTAATAATTTCGGTGATTGTATTTTTCAGCTAGATCCCTATAATGTCTTTGAAAAGTCATTCAAATACGTTGTCCTTTCTATAATGGGTTGAGTCCTAGGCTTGTTTTAAGATTGGGAAAAGGAGGTTTGTAAGTATCATTACCAGTCCAGTGGATATTCTTCCACTCTTGGACATATTTAGTGCTCCACACCCGACCTCCTCCCACCACCACTTTTTTGCTTGAAGGTAGTTCTCATCTTTGTAGTGAGGCATCCAATGAGATGTGAGGGAATAAAGTCTTGGGTCTTCTGGAAACATTTCATAATTTCATGGACTTTCGTGAGAATATTGGGCTGCCTTCTCTCCTGCTGCATCGGCCCTCTGATCCCCTTGGGCAGCTGTTTTCGTGTCTCTTTTTTTTGGTGTCCTTGCCAGGGCATGAAGGCAACTTCCTGGGATCCATGTAGCTGTGATAGAAGGCGAGTGCTGATGGGAGCCATGAGCTTGGCACTCTGCTGAGATATTTGGTGGAAGCAGTTCAGCTTCTGTCTATTGCAGACTCAGATTTTCATTGATCTCGTTCCTTGAAACGGCTCCCATCTAGGTTCAAATCATTGTCTGAATTGTCTAGAGACTCGTCTTTGAGATTTATTCTATTTGAATATTTCACCTCAATGATTCAGATGAAATTATGTTCTAAGTGACCCTGACCAGGAGATGGCTGGAGCCCCAAATCTGTCAATTACCATACATACTCAAGTATAAGCTGGCCTGAATATTAGCTGAGGCACCTAATTTTACAAGAACTGCATTAAAAATGTGCTGAAAAACTTGGCTTATACACGAGTATATAGGTACCTGTTGGAGACCTATCAGGTCCTTCTGTGCAATGAAAGCCATAGTAACTATCTTAGCATTCTTGGGTACTTCTGTGTCAATATCAGGATATCATTTGAAAGCTGCATATAATCTGGCCACTCGGTGAAGGGGTTTAAAATATGGAGTTAATAAGCCATGTATTTTATTGGAATCCTTATATGTAGGAAGATTAAACAAATCAAACATTGAGTGTGGGATGTGGACCCAAATACCGATGGCCTGTTCACACCATAATCAATTGGTTGCTCTCTAAGAGGATGTAGCTTTAAAGAGGGAGCTGCAAACTGCCCTACAGGTGCTCCATTTTACGTATGTGGCGGGGAAATTACCTCTTCCAAGGGCGTTGCTGGGGGAGACTGTCCAGCTATAGGTCCGGAGGAGTGATGTAGAAAAGATTAAGGAGAGTAGGGAGATTTTAGAGTTTCTCATCCTACACTATGGACGGAGGTAAAACTTTAAATTTCTTTTTCTGTTTTATTGGTTCATCAGTCCATTACACCGTTATATTGCATTGTCTTTGAAAAGTTATGTTTTTCCACGGAGATGTGGAGTTTTCAACATACATGTTTTTCTTCCTATTTACCTTCTCTTTTGCGGTCCAAGACCATTACATAAGTTCCAACTCACAGCAGCCCTCTGTGCAAGGGAAAGAAGCAACGCCTGGCCCTGCAGCTGCCTCACACTTGTTAGGCTGGAGCCTCTTGTTGCAGGCCCTGTGCCAGTCCATCCCATTGGGGTCTTCCTCTCTTTTGCTGACCATCCACTTTACCAAGCATGATATCTCTCTCTAGGGATTGGTCTCTCCTGATAGCCTGTCCAAAGTACGTGAGATGAAGAAATCACTTTTAAAGAGCATTCTGACTGTAATTCTTCCAAGACCCACTTGTTTGTCCTCGTAGACTTGCCCCTCTGTAGCACAAAATAAATCTAGTTGTAAGGTGATGGTAACATTTAAAGAACCCCTTTCTTCATCCTATTTATACTGGGGGCCAGAAATACTTGGGTAAAATTTTATCTTGGGCTTTTTTCATCAGAATATGTATATATTTTAAAGACCAATTTTTAAAGGTACATTCAAGCAGGATACAACTTTGACTATTCTATTGTGTATGTTACCTGGTCCCAAACCATCGCATATAAACACCTATTGTTTTAAGACCTTTGTCTTACCAGGTATGCAATACCAAGTCTTGCGCTTGAGATCAAGACTAAAGAATACAAACATCTTTCACATGAAGGCCATTCTCTCACTAGCTATGTAACACAGGGTCTTGAGCCAAGAGATACTCTCAGATAGCATTGAAATTTTACTCACCAGGGAGCTCTTCTCCCTCTTTCCAGGACAAAACACAAACCATTTACCAATCCTCATGGCCTACCATCTTTGGGTCTGGGGCCAGGGCCAACCACTGGAGTCATCTTGGAGACAGGGATCTGGTGGCCCTGAGGGACAGAGTCATCTCAGTGGCAAACTCACTGGTTCTCAGAGCCAGGTGTCAGGTTATCATCCTTCATGATCACCCAAAATTAATGCTGGCAAACTGCCTACAGGGAAATGGCCCTGCCCTCTGCCACCTTTTGGGCCAACAAAGAAGGCATCAAGGTGAGGAGGATGGGAAGTCTGTATTGCAAGCGTGCAGACAAGGAACTAGGAGACTCGACTTCAAAGGAGTTTCCCAAAGAGCAGGTTCCTTTCATCTTTCTGCATTTCTAACAAGAGATTTATACGCAGGATTCCAAGGAAAATGTTTGCATTTTCGGGAGCTAATTAACCCCCATGTGGGTGCAATAGGAGCCACAGCTGCCAGGAGGTGTGCTTTTTGGCCTGTGATGTCAAGAGGTTCCTGACAGGACTTCCATACACTGTGTGCAGCTGAGCGGAAAGGGTTCTGATTGCTTCTATTTGGTTTTATTTCGTTTTCATCTTAAGCTAAGGTCCTCCAGCTTCTCCGGTCTCTTCCCTCCGTGAAGAGGAGTTGGCCATTACCCAGGGTTGTGAGGAATGGAGTGGCCCTCATAGCCACCGATCTGAAAAGAGGGGCAGTTACCTGAGCAAGCATGTTTTCTTCCTTTAAATGCTCACCAAGCTTCCCCTTGAACACTTTCTATGTGTTCTGATCATAGTTGCAAATACAAGACGAAAGGGGATCTCCATTATTTTACATTTATCGTTTGTTTCATTATGAATTCATGAAATGATTGAGTCATTGTCCTGTTATGAGTGTGGGAATTTTGAGTGAGAAAGTACCAGATACATCTGCTTTAAAAAAATACAACTGACTGAATCACTACAATGTTGGCTGTAAACAGAGCCGCGAGTTTGGTTTTTAAAAACTTCTTCCCTTAAACACGTGTTTCATCATCTGCAGTGGAAGATACAAAATGTCCATTATTGTTCAAAGGTTCTAGGTTTGCTTCATTCACGACTTTTCTTCCATTTTCTGATGTTTTTGTATCTTTTCCTTGATATTTTTTCTTCATGGCATAAAGGAATACAATAAATAAAATAAGGGATACACCTTTTAAACTCAAAGTCATGCCAAAGTAAGTGTATCTGTGAAAAGAGATGGAGGGAAAAGAATGGTTATTAATTCTAAAATGTGTGGAATGACATGTTGAAAACATTAAAAGAAAGCAAAAGCTTGAAGTTTCAAATTACACATAAAAATATCAAGGCAGCAATCTAGTGTTTTAATTGTAAAAGGATTATTATGTCACAGAAATAAAGGGTGATTGATGATCTACCCAAGTACTTTTTTTAAAAGTAAGTGTACTTTTGTAGAATTTTACTTTCTCAAGAACAGATTAGTTTATTTGTAATGGAAACAGAATATAAGGAACGTGTATTGAATGTGAGAGAATCTAAGGGAATACATTCCTTCCTTCTGAACGATATCCCCAGAATCTGCTTCTGGTTTGATCCCCTATGGCTGAAGTTTCTAAGGAGTGCATACCTCTCCCATGTTAATGTCCATCCTGTAGGCCTGAATTATTTGGCTGAAAGAGGAGTCTCAGGGGTTGAGTTCAGTTTCAGACCTGAATAGTGACTAAGGACCATAGTCTCAGTCAGACCAACAAACCTCCTTTTGTAAATGATTTTGTGTTTTGTTTCGTAGTTTTTGTCCCATTCTATCCAAAAAACCTTATATAGTGATCCCTTTATTGAATGACAGATCCAATATTTAGTTAGGGGTTAAATTCAGTTCACCTGACCCTGCTGTGTGATCTATTGGAAAATTTCAACAATCATGGCATACAATTACTTTTTATGTAGACTTTTTATTAGACTGTGTGCACACAGTCTAATAATGTGATACTGTGATTCTCAATAGTAGAATAATGTGAGGAGATTTAAAAGTCCTGCCCCCGCCCTCCATATTCAGGCTACATCTCTAACCAATGAAATCAGAATCTCTTAAATGGGCACTGGGGTATTGAACCCTGGATTGTCAGGGTGCACAGCATACTCCAATTGTCGCACCAGTGAGACCTTGTTTGTGTAAATACCGTTCAGCCACAAAAGGATTTATTCTGTAAAAGTTAATAATTCAGGTATTGAGATATAGAGTTAGCCTACATTGGTCCAATTGTTTAAACAAATTAGTACCAGGGGTTAATAATGGCAATATTAATAGAAAAGCTTTATGCTCCAGAGAGATGATCGATAAAACTCTCTACCATAAATTAACATGGAGGTCTCTAAAGGGAGCCAAAGGCAGATTAAAAAACATAGATCCAGGAAAGGATTTGGGGCTTGCACTAAACCCTACCCCCAATTTAAGAACAATTAATCCTTACATCATGGCCCTGCTCTATACTCATCCTCAAGAATGGAACACAAAAGATGGGTGCTATAGCAAGGCTTGGTGAAGAAATTAGATGGTTCCCGATTACCAGATAAAATAATGCCTGGGGACTTAAAGGCTTGTTTCCAAGCAAGCAGCCATCTGAATGAGATGTCCACTAAATAAGTTCACATGGAAGAAGCACACTAACATCAGTGACTCAAGGATTGCAAGTCATATAATCCAAAGGTGAAGCAAAGGAGTATTAGAGCATACATGATGAGATTTTGGTTTGTAGAAGATGCTATGGATGACAGTGGGCACCCAAGACACATTTGTGAGATATACACAGGAAATAAGACCCCAGCGATTTCCCTCTATCCATAGTAAGGGGGGTGATGGGGAAAAAAAAAACTAGTTACCTGAGTACATTGGAGAGATGACTATAAAAGATCAAAATGATAAACTTGTCTTTACCAGTTAATACCTTGTCAGTTGATTCCTCCCTCTGATCCATGTTGAGCCTGATCTGATTTTAAACCTTGTCAGTTGATTCCTCCCTCTGATCCATGTTGAGCCTGATCTGATTTTAAACATTTTCTGTGTGTGTGTGTGTGTGTGCACACGTGTGCTTTCATATTGGGGTTATCTCAGATGTATTTTGTCATTGGGGGTAACCCTCTTGAATTTTGGTTCTATGGTTTTGTATTTTCTGGTACATGCAACCCAGGATTGATGAACCTATAGGGACTGGGAATGAAATAAGGGTTCCTGGGGGGTACAGGTACCTGCCTGGGAAGAAGGGTAAAGGAGAGTTGATATCATTCTCTACCAAGAAGGTAGAGAATGTTTTGAAACTGATGGTGGTAGCCATTGTGCAATACTCCTTGATACAACTATGGAACAATATGACATCTGTATTAACTCCCAATAAAATGGTTTTGAAAAAAATATCTCTCAAATGGGGCATAGAAACCAGCAATCTACAAACCTTCCCAGGTGACTGCACTGCTAAGTAAAGAGTGGTGAAACACCACGAAGCACTAATCACTGGCTCCATGTCATAATTATCTAATCTTGCCAAGCTCTATAAAATATGCCTATGAACAGTTTTAATTGAGGCTGAATGAAATTCATTATACAATTTTTAGCTCCAAGGGAGCTTCAGAATATTACTGGAAAAGGTTCATTGGATTTTAATTCCATCTAAGTACTTATACTTAATTTTACTAGAATTACAGCAGGATATTTTGTTGTACAAAATATGATAAAGTCAACATAAACTAAACTTTCACATGTGTTTTACTTATGGCTAGGTTATTTCCAGTATTTTTAAAACAAAGTTAAGCTATTTTTAATAGTTTTAATTTTCTTATAATATGTGAAGTTCAAAACGTTTTATATATTTCAGACATTAGTGTTTCTTTTACTTTAAGAAACTCTAGATATTTTATTTTTGCAGGTGTGGGTTGTCAATTTAAACATGTATGATAGTGTAGGGGTGGAATCCAAACTGTCAATCAGGTCACAGCCTGATGGTGGCTTCCTTGGGGGTGTGGCCTTCCTAGAAGGAAGAAATTGGGAAACTCCATCTCTTTCTGCTGTCTTGCCTTCCTTTTTCCTGGTATTCTGACTTTCTTCAAGTGAGGCCCTAGGACGGACTGTCCAAACTGGAGCACTGTCAGGACCCTGCCATGTTGCCAAAAAACTGGGGTCCACACAACTCTGTACCAGCAGAATGTGATCTTCCTGCATCCCTGCTTTGCTTTCTGCATCACCAGCCTGCAGCTTCAGTTGAAGGAGTTCTGGCTTGCCTCAGACTTTTTGATTTGAGTTGGACTGAGCTGAGATAACTTCTTGGTATCAGATTGCTTCTTGATATAGTTCTTTCTTATACATAGATGAGTGTCACTGATTTTGTTTCTCTAGACAACTCAGCCTAACACAACAGGTTTTCAAGAGGTCTTTCTTTTAGGATACTTGTTCTTTATACTTTTTGATTGAAATTTATTTTTCCTTTTATTTTTTTGTCTATTAACTTTACTTAAGATTTGTAATATAGTGGTTACGTTTGTTTTTTTCCTGTTTTTTTCTATTGTAATTTTGGGGTTTGGTCATACACACTTACCTGCTTCCTAGGCAATGAAAAGAAAACCTAACATGACTTCTTTGAATACATTATGGATTCATATTTTAAATTCATGTATTTTATTGATATGCAATTAATCAAGTTATGTTTTCAGAAGGTCCCACTATCATTTCTAGAACAGCTCGCCAAAGGAATAGGAAATTATAGAAATGACTTTTTCCATTTCCCTCCCATTGACAGAATATCAAGTAGTCGATTTTTGTATTCCTAAAGAAGTGGACTGTGGACTCTAGCTTTTTGTTGTTGTTCACTGTTATGAGAAGAAGTTTTTGTTTTGTTTTTCCCAACAGGGAATGTTTGATACAGGTACTCTCTGGGTTATGGATTCCTGCGTTACGGACAATTCCTACTGCTGACTCACGCACTTACTACTCACTCACAGCCATTGAATTGATGCCATCCCTTAGCAATCCTATAGGACAGGGTCGAACTTGCCCTGTGGGTTTCAGAGACTGTAGCTCAGAAGGCCCTCTTTCTCCCTCAGAGAGAGAGAAATGGGTGGTTTCAAACTGCTCACCTTAAAGTAAGCAGCCCAATGCTAACCTCTATGCCACTAGGGTTCCAGATTCCTACTCTTTGTCCTTACATGCAAGCCTTTGAACCAGTTCTGTCATGACCAACACAGGACCAACACAATGGGAACAGACTGGAGTTTTCAATTTGACTGATTCATCATGGTGACCAAAAAAATGAGAACCTTTATGAGTCAAAGCCCTGCAAGGCAGACTTAGAAAAGGGGCGGAGCCTTTGCAGAAGACTGAGGCATGAGGTTGGATCACTGGCCGGATTTCAGAAAGTCTCACACATTCAAAGTGTGATCTATATATTGAAATATATAGATCCAATCTCTTTTTGGTATTAACTTTTGTCACCAGTTGAGTTGCTATTCCATGGTGGGGGTCGGGCTATTAGTATGGCTTGGGAAAGTTTCTACTTCTCCATGAAATAGGACAAAATAGGACAGAATGATACATCTCCTATAGTTTCTATGAGCATTTAAATGAGATACAATATTTCTTGGCACGATACTAAATGCAAATGATGAGCTCATCAAATGGTAGCTATATTTACTATTATTCTTTTTTACCCAAAATAGCATTTCATCAAATAGATCAAATAAATACAACATATTTATACAACTTACCCATATAATTTGGAATTATATAATCTACAAGTTCCTCGCTTCCCACATTTGTTGATGGACCACTTTAAGCATGTTCTATCAATCAGAGCCCCAAAATATATAGGAGCTAGAATTCCTCCTGAAACATTAGATGAGAAGATGTAAACATTCAAAATTTACTGGGAAATAGTCCTATTGATACATTTAAGTAATGAATGAAATTTTCCCCCCAGCAATTCATCAACAACCATTACTTCATGATAAATGAAACATTAGATGAGAAGATGTAAACATTAGATGAGAAGATGTAAACATTCAAAATTTACTGGGAAATAGTCCTATTGATACATTTAAGTAATGAATGAAATTTTCCCCCCAGCAATTCATCAACAACCATTACTTCATGATAAATGTAAATATCAAAGGGCAGTGAAATTGTGTTGGAAATGTGGTCTCTCCTAGACAAAAGATTGATTCACTGCTTGTACATCATGCCATCTAAGGATGAAAGTAAGGAAAACAGCATTAGATCATTTAAAATGTCTTAGAGGTAGTTTTTATTTAACTTTAAGTCCTCTTTGGAAAGAGCAGCTCAATTACAATTTATGTCAAGCATATTGATTTCTTCTTTCTTTAGCTACTCAGTGAGTTCTGATCACTAGCTCTGGTCACTGACGATTAGTCAGGGCCAATCCAACATAATCCCATGTGTGTCAGAGTAGACCTGTGCCCCAGAGGGTTTTCCATAGTTGATTGTTTTGGAAGTAGATCACTTAGCAGCCCAGCAGCCATTTTCACCTCCTAAAGAGCTTTAACAGCTGTAGAGCGTTTACCGTATCCAAGCTGAATCTTGACGAGAATAGATTAAACTCAGGTTCACTGCCATCCAGTCAATTCTGACTCAACGTGAGACTAGACAGTCAGAGTGAGAATAGACAGTAAAAATAAAAATGACGAGGTTGGCTTCTGAAGTAAAAATTACAATTTTTCTAGGCCAGCAATTTAAAAGACTCAAGCTCTGTAGCAATACCATCTCACCACCATCAGGTCGATGCCGAGCCCTAACAACCCTGAAGGGCAGGGCAGAACGAGCCCTTGTGAGTTTCCGAGTCTGTGCCTTTTTACAGGAGTAGAAAGCTCAGTCTTTTCCCCGTGGAGTGGCTGGTGCTTTTGAACCGCTGACCTTGTGGTTAGCCGCCTGAAGCATAACCATTACACTCCCATAGATATTTTAAAAATTTACTTCCATCCACCTTTTCTCTACTTTAAGGCACGTAAGGAACAAAAAGGTTGCATGGAAATACATTTTCTATAATATCAATTAATTATGCCTCATTATTATCAATAAAAATATAAGGTATACTGATTCATATGTAATTTGTCTTAGGCATGGAGAACTAGTACAGTGGCAATTTGCATTTTCTTTGGTTTTCAGACATCTATTCCCACTTTCTGGTGTCATTCAATCCCACAGTCCATGTGGTAGTTATGTAATCTGGTGTCAACTTGAGACTTAAGTGTGAAAGGGTGGAGTTTAGCCTGTCAATCAGGTTGCAGCTAAGTGACATCATTTGGAGGTGCTAAGGAGATAAATCACTGTGTTTCACTGGAGGTGGGACACACATTCCCTGCAAGACATTCCTGTTGACAAGCCACATGGAGCTATGCTGAAGGAAGCCAAAGCCTTGGAGCTGAAGGAGCCACGTGGAGACCCACGCCAGCACCAAGATGGTTCCACTGCCACTGGATCCACATGACTTTCCACTCACTGGCCTGTGATTTTCCTGCACCCAGTGTCATTGTATGTGCTTCGTGAGTCTGAAAAAGAATTTATAGACTGGTACTGGATATATGGGCTAATATTAGATTTATGTACTTGACCTCTACTGGGCTCAGATGTTTTCTTACTATCCAATTGCTCTTTGATAAAGTTCTTTCTTACACACATATGCATGTCTATGAATTTGTTTCTTTAGTCTACTCAGACTAACATAGTCCATTATTTCTCTTTACTGAATTTTTATATTTTAAGATCTCCAGACTAGAGGCAGTCTAGACTATCCAGGATATGGTTTATGGTGACATCTTTTTAAAATTAGTGTCTGGTCACCATGTTGCATAGGTTCTCAGAGATCTGTACATAACCTGATTTTATTTTTTATTGTATAATATTGCACAATTCAAGGCTTTTCAGGAACATGTATGTTGTCTCTTAAAGGAAGCACCTGTCTGTGTTTTTTGCTTTTAAAACTAAACTCTCAGAGTGGCTCCTTATTTAAGCTTAGATAATTTGACCAAAATATTGGGGAACATGCTAAAAGAGATTGATCCTTCAGATGGAGATGAAGGATTTGTGATTGTATTTTGCTCTTTTTAAAATTTAATGCATGATTTAAAATTTTTATCTAGTTTCATCAAGAAAGGTAATGATTCATATTTTGTATTTTACTGATTCCATGTATTGTTAGTGTCTCAATCTTTTGTGGGAAGCCATAGACTGGTAGACAGATGGTTCCTGAAGTCAGTATATTTGAAGAAAGTTTATACTGGTTTAATTGATAATAACTTGACAGTCTTCTACAAATCACACCCAAACTTTGAAAAATGAAAAAGAAATATCCATATTTATTTTCCTCATAAATGACAAGCTGATTTGACCCAGTTGTTAATAAATTCTCTCCTGTAACATACCTGCTTTTAATCGTTACTAGACTGCTAAAATACCTAACAACCTATTTTCCAAATATTTTTTTTAGTTCAATAATCCATATAGGCCTTCCACAGTTTCTACATTTATGTATTCAAGACTATGTATTTTCTAATAGAAGCTATATCAGGTTCTGCTAACATACACTGTGACATGCTCATCTATTGGACATATCAAATGAATAGGCACAGAATTAGGATGCCAATTTTTTTTACATATTTGAGTTATTGAGGCAATTTCCTCTTCTTAAATATACCCCTTCCCTATTTTTAAAGCCTGCTTTCAGGATATGAGGAGGAGTGTTAACTACGCAGATTCTATTTCCATCTGCCTGCTCTGTGATTAAACTCTGGGAGCGAGGTGTCATTGGACCTGGGGGAACTGGGAAGATGGTGGAATCTGCAAGATTAGAAAGCACAGAGGGAATCCTGGGGAGGGAGCTGTAATGGGTCCTGCAGGGCGACTCTGTCTCCCACCCATTGCTTGGAGGAGATGAGGCTTTCTCCACAAATACACTTGGATAGCTTGTCCACTGTAATTTCTCCACTCGGTTTTGTGGCTTTCATTGTCTTCTAAAGGGATCATGGACCCTTCCACTTTCCACTTCTTCCATTCATGGCTGCTCAAGGCCATGATCACTCCTCTACCCTCATCTCTGTGAAGCACGAATGAATGTTGAGTGCCCATTTTCTGTCTCCCAGGAGTAGGTAACTACCTTTTGCAGGTCTTTAAAAGGGCACTGATAGGGGTTGGGTTAGAACTTACTAAACTCCTAGCAACAATAGAAACTCGTGGTGGAAAACAGCAAATGGCAGACAGGGATAAAGGTTTACTTTCTTAAATCTCTTATTTGAAAATTTAAAAGTAAGCTTTTAATCTCTGAAACTTGAGTTCATTTTTATACAGAGCACTGCCTTAACCCAAGATGCTCAGTTCTGGAATTTGAGTTCTCATTCCTTTTGAATTTCTAACTTCTGATAAAGGTTAATGGCTCCTAGTGACCTAGGCAGCTGGCAGTGGAGCAGTTAAAGCTAACTTCGGAGGATTTGCGCAATCTCCATCTGATCAGATTTCCAGCCCCCACCTACTGTTTTGGGTCTTAACCTCTAACAACATGAAGGCCGTCCTCTCTGCATAGTAGAAAAAATTCTATTTAGAAAGATTTAGAGACTTTAAAATTAATAATTACATTTCTTTTATGTCACCCAATTGCCCTCACTTTTTATTATTTTTAATTCATCACATAAATAGTAATATTTCTGACATACACCATCTTTTAAAAGTTTCTTCTGTGGAAATTAATGAATTTTGGTCTTAGAGTTGTGGCATGATACTTATATCAAGAAGCTGTAATTTTTATATTTATCATACCTAGTGATCGTATAGTCAGTGAATGAAAACCCACTGCAAGTGACTTCAGCTCTGGTTGAACATTCCTGCAATAAGATAAAAGCAAAGAAACAGTAAAACATAAAGCTGAGTTCAGTATCTAATATTTTCTTAATATAATTCTTCATGATCTAATAAAATCTCTCAAGTGAATAGCTTGCGTTATTTAAAGGTATATTTCTAGTTATTCTAAAAAATATCAATAACTGAATGGTAACAACAATTATTCCATTTCTAGGATTGATTTTAAGACATTTTAGTGAACATTTTCACATTAGATTTTCATGAAAATCTTGAGATAGTGGTTGAAACAGACTTTGTTATGCCTATGAAGAATTCAATTTCACATCATCTGTTCAGTTGAGACAGCCCATCTGGGTAGAGCAGACATTGTTATATAAGTCTAACTCTTCGCAGATTTCTTTTCACTCATTAGTCTGTCATTGATGTTAACAGAAAAATCCTATGTAACAGAACCAACCAGAACAATACGCACTGCCATGGAATGGGTTCTGACTCATCACGATTCTATGTAGGTTTCTGAGACTGTAAATCATCTTTCTCCTGAGAAGTGGCTGGTGGGTTTGAATCACTAACCTTGTGGTTAGCTACCAGTACCAACAGAGCTCCTTCAAGAGCATGCCCAAGTATTCTGTCAGCAAATGTAATGTCGACAGTTCAATGATTCATTCCCGACAGAGCAATATGCATAATTTACCAGGTGCTATGACTGCATTACAGGAGCCCGGGTGATGTAGTGGGTTATGAGTTGGATCATTGGCTACAAGGTCATCAGTTGGAGCCTACCAACAGTTGTTCCAGAGGAGAAAGGTAATGTAGATGCTCCTGTAAAGATTTACCATCTGAGAATCCCCAGGGAGCAGTTCTACTCTGACTTACAGGGTCATTATAAATGGGAATAACACCATGACAGTGGGTAATGGGTACTAATATGGTTATCTAGAAATGGTGAAATATTTACAAAACACTTAAAACTAAGTACACAATACCATCTAGTCCAGTGGTTTTGAACCTTTCTAATGCCACGACCTTTTAGTATAATTCCTCATATTGTGGTGACCGCCAACCATAAAATTACTTGTGTTGCTACTTCATAATTGTCATTTTGCTACTGTTATGAATTGGGTGGCCCCTGTGAAAGGGTCATTCAACCCCCAAAGGGGCCACAACCCGCAGGTTGAGGACCTCTTATCTAGTCAATTCTGATGCACAGCAACCCTATGGGGCAGTGTGCAATATTTCTTAGGGTTTCTGAATGTATAGATTTTTATGGAAGATGACAGGTTAACCTTTTTCAAGCAGAGCAGCTGGTGGATTTGAATCACCAGTCTTTCAATTAGAGTCTCAATATCTAAACCAGGCTACCATGGATCTTTTCATAATATAACTAGCAGGAAGACAAAAAGGAGTGATCCATATCCTAGTTAAAGTGACTATCTTCTTAGAGTTAGAGAGCATGTTTTTATCCTCTGAGAAACTCACTCACTCTGACAGTTAGAATGCTATTTCCACAATTCCATTTTTATGCTTTGAGTAAAACTGGTGATACGCCTATCAATGTGTGTGGTAGTTGCATAATCTGTTGTCAATTTGAAAGTTAAGAGGAAAGGGGTGGAGTTTAGATTGTCCAGCAGGTCGCAGCTTGATGATCTCATTTGGAGGCATTATGGGGATAAATAGCTTGCTCGAGGTGAGATACACTCTCATACCCTGAGAGACATTTCTGACAGTGAACCTGGTGGAGCTACACTAATGCATCCAGAGCTCTGGGAGCTGAAGGAGCCACATGGAGACCCCTGCCAGTGCTGAAATGCTTCTACCACCACTGGATCCACAAGACTTTCCACCTGTGATCTTCCTGCATTCAGTGTCATTGCAGGTGCTGTGTGAGTCTGAAGAGGAATTTAGAGATTGGTATCGAACATATGGGCTAATATCGGACTTAAGAACTTTATCTGGTCTTGGCAGTAATGTTTTCTCAATATTCAATTGCTCTTGTATATAAAGTTCTTTCTTATACACATATGAGTCTCACTGAGTTTGTTTCTCTAGTCTACCCAGACTAATACACTGTGCTAGCCTAATACATTTCAAGTGAATTGAACTTATCTAGATTTGGCTGAGGGACTGAGTCTACAAATTGCAGTTTAAAAAGTGAACTCTGAAACTAATTGGTACCAAAAGGTTTTTTTCCCCCTCTATCTTGAACTACTTAGTTGAATGTATTTGTGCAAAGAGCAATATAAGTAGATTTATTTGTTCATTAAATAACTTAAGTGCCTCCTATGAGATATCATGCTATTCTTTTTATTCAGAATAGAGATAATGTTTCATATCATACAAGCAATTTAGAGAAGTGATTTAACCTTTCTTGGTCTCAGTTCATTTCCTTACCTGCTAAGAGGTAATAATAATAGCTATCTTTTATGTCATGAGAATCAAATACAATATAAATATGTAAAACGTCTGGATCACATTATAGTCTCAGTAATTAGTGGCTCACTTGAAAGGCTTAAGGGGAAATTATTTGTAAAGAATATTGAGGCTTAGAGTACTTGTACTAAATACAGATATGAGAGCAGAACAATTATTCCTATAGCTAATAAATCTGATGTTTCATAAAGCATTCGGTTTCAAAAATAAATTTCTAAAGATAGTCTTCAAACTTGAAATTGTTTATATTCATGTCATTCTTTGGCAATTTTTTGTTTATTAAATAGATATTTGTAACACTGGCTCAATGTCGTTAGGCAGAATATGACAAGGAGCCAACTATGAGACTGACTGGAAACTGCTCATATATAAGTACATATTGAAATTGAAGAAAATTAAGACCAGGTCTGCAAATCCAAAACACAATTTTCAGTATATTCCACCAAAATTCAGGGAGCAGCTCAAGAACAGATTTAATCAATGAATATTAATGCCAGAAATGAAAAAGTAAAAGAGCTGAGCAGAAAATTTCACAGGGCACCTGGAGAAGACAAAGTAAATTATTGTGATGAAATTTTCAAAGACTTGGAAAGCCAAAAAGGAATACTAAGCACATCTCAATCAGAAAGGATTGAAGAAAAACTTAATCCTCGAGTTGTAATATTACAAGATTCTATGATCAAAATATTAAATGATGCGGGAGGTATCAAAAGAAGATGAAGGAGTGGCCAGAATCCCTGTACCAAAAAGAATCGGTTGACATTCAACCATTTCAGGAGGTAGCATACAATCAAGAGCCAATGGTACTGAGAGAAATCCAAGCTGTATTGAAGATATTAGCAAAAGACAAGCTTCTAGGGATTGAATAACACCCCAAATGCTTCAACAAGCTAATGCACCACTGGAAAGACTCACTATGTCAAGTGTCTATGTCAAGCTAGACTTGTGGGAAGACAGCTACTTGACTGACTGCAAGAGATCCATGTCTGTGTCCACTTAAAAGAAAGTTAAGGTGGAATTATCAAACAATATCATTAATACTACAAATTTTGTTGACGATAATTCAAAAATGGCTGCAGCTGTACATTTCCAGGAACTGTCAGAAATTCAAGCTGAATTCAAG